CTGCAGTTTTGGGTTTTGCTCCATGTCGATTGCCATTTAGATGTATATTAGATTTAATAAAAATCAAGTTCGTATTCTCAGTGGCTCACTTTCAAGAAGCATTTGATCATTTATGGTTGTAGTTGAAGGAAATGCTCAACAAAATCACTTTATCATCTTACTCAGTTATGCAGTGTTTTCACAGTGAGAGCTTGCTGTTGTAGTTGGTCTGTGGTCTTACATTGACAATATGGGGATGCAAGTGAACTTCTAGGAAAAAAGCAGCAGCAGACAGAACATCTTGAAATGTTTGCTACCCGAGTTCTTCCCTGTGCTGTTCTCGGTTTAAGGTAACTGGTTTCCATCCTTACCCATCAGAGTGAAACGCAAGTTGTTGTCCAAGCCTGCAGCAAACTATTTCAGGCTATATCCTTTATGCATACTGTATTAATGCTGCTATGATGAGTTTATTTTTTCCAGTGTTCAGGTCAAGGAACCCATGTGCTTTTGTTTTTTTCTATGGTGTTTTGGACTGTGTCTGTAAGAAGATGACAATTCACATCTAAATGACGTTCCTCTGAAGGTAACTCAGTTTGTTACAATGAGACGTTCTCTGTTTTACGAGTTTAGTTGAGATGATTAAACGCAAATGGATGACATTGAACCGCTGGTTTTATTCACCAGGTTTGCGTTGCTCATGTAAATATTTCTTTCAAATATTTATAATTTATCATTTTTATAATTGTTATTTATTTTCTCTCTGTGAATATACATTCATTACTAATTATGATTTTTACGCAGTTATTTTGCTTAATTGCACATAGTTCCTTCAACAGTGGGCAGGACTAACTCACATGCAGTAATCCCATTGGTTGATTATTTGATAATGCGACACCTGCCAGAGATTAGCATAACCAACAAGAAGCTGCACGCACATGTGAGCAGAGAAGTCCGCTTGGTAACACTTTACTTGAAAAGTGTGCATAAGACTGACATGACACCTTCATAATCATGACATGACACGTCATGAATATGAAGGAGGTTTTATGCATGTTTATGACAACTGTCATTAAGTGTCATTCGCTCAGTTATGTCATTTTTAATGCAAATGACATTATTTGACCTAACCCTAACCTAACCCTACCCTTACCCCTAACCATAGCCCATAACAAAGACATCTCAAACAATGTCATCTTTGCATTAAAAATGACATAACTGAGTGAATGACACTTAATGACAGTTGTCATACACATGCATAAACAACCTTCATATTCATGACATGTCATGTCATGATTATGAAGGTGTCATGTCAGTCTTATGCACACCCCTTCAAGTAAAGTGTAACCGTCCGCTTTGAATGAGGTAAGTTAATGTAGTTTAAATTTATAAAAAGATTTTGTATTTAAGTAACTTTTAGCATGTTCTTAATTTCGTCACCTGTCACCCCCCCCCCCCCCCCCCCCTC